AGTTTAGGGTCAGGTAGGTACCTGTGAGGTTAGTTTAGGGTCAGGTAGGTACCTGTGAGGTTAGTTTAGGGTCAGGTAGGTACCTGTGAGGTTAGCGTTAGGGTTGGTGGTCAGGGTTAGGTTGTAGAAATGTAATGGAAGTCAATGGAATGTCCCKAAATGGATAGCTGGGCGAACCTGTGTGTGTGTGTGTACAGAGAGGGTAAAGCACATCCAGCTGCTGCTCCTGCAGCTGGAAGCCCACTGATAGAAGCTCTCCCTGCAGCAGCGCTCAGCTCAAGCATTACACACAGAATCTGCTGGTGTTACATTTAAGTAGAGGATTTGGTCCTCTGCTGTTACACAAACACATGTTTTCTCTCGTGTGCTTCAGCCATAAAGCAACACTGTGACTGAAGCGTTGTGTGAGGAGTCCCTCAGGGCGTGTCTCACAGAAAACACTGCTCCTGTCAGGCCTTCATCTTCTCCCTGCAGCTCGTCCTGAGGACACACTCTTCATRTCACCTCTTCCCAGGGTTCCTGCACATCCTTAAAAAGTCTTAAAAGTCATTGAATTCATCGATCCAAAAATAAAGCCTTAAAATGTCTTAAATCAGTCTTTCAGAAGTCTTAAAAATGTGAACACATTGTAAATAGGATGATTGTAATTCATCTGAAATATTAAAATAACTGGTAACATTTATTTTTTAAATGTTCACATGCAGACATTCCCCTCTGACATCACTTCCTGTTATTTCACATGTAAATATCTCAARAACTGTTCATCTGAGCAAAGTAAAATTAGTTTTGTTATATGTTAATAATGTTGTCATTTTAAAAATGCATTCACTTTTCTTACAAACTTTGATGTTATAGACACTGTGTCCTAAAACTCCAAATGTTGGCTTGACTGCTAAGGAAGTTTTTGCTATATTTGATGAAAAAGTAGTTAGATATGGATAAACAATTGATTTATTAACAATATTTGAATACTTCAACCAAAAATACTTTGATTCATGAGTTTCTGCCACAGTTTTATTTTTTGTCATTTGTGTTTATTATGAAATTGGTCTTAAATTTAATTTCAGTTGGCATTAAAAAGTCTTTAAAAGTCTTAAATTTAATTTCAGTTGGCATTGAAGTCTTAAAAAGTCTTAAATTTAATTTCAGTTGGCATTAAAAAGTCTTAAAAAGTCTTAAGTTTAATTTCAGTTGGCATTAAAAAGTCTTAAAAAGTCTTAAATTTAATTTCAGTTGGCATTAAAAAGTCTTAAAAAGTCTTCAATTTAATTTCAATTGGCATTAAAAAGTCTTAAAAAGGACTTCCGGTTATGGCGGCCAGGTGAAAGGACGTGTTTCTACCGCTCTGCTGTTCTTGTCAAAGATTTTACCAAAAATACCTTCCCTTTTACAACGAACTAAACGACCAGTGAGCACGGGTGTTCGGAATAATGCCTAAAGCAGCAAAAGCATCCCAGGAAGTAAGTGAAAAAGCAAAACAACATAAACTGACGGATTATCATGCTCGTGGCGAAGTGCTGAAAGCTAATGCTAGCTCATGCTCAACTCCAATGGCCGCCGCAGACAGAGAAGAGAACCCGAAATCTCAAAGCAGCAAGGTGGATGAAATACTATCGGTGGTCAATTCAATCCAAAAGGACTTCTCCTCTAGATTTGACGAAGTTCTGGGCTCCATRGACAGTGTACGCAAAGAGATAAATYACTGTGCTCAGCGAATTACAGAAACTGAAACACGCATCTCTGATGCGGAGAATGAGATAGAAACGCTACGAGCTAAGGTGGATATACTGGAGACCAGGAAGAAAGATCTGGAAGATAAAGTTATGGATCTGGAGTCCAGATCGAGACAAAACAACCTGAGGCTGGTCAACCTGCCGGAGGGAGCTGAAGGACAAAATCCATGTGAGTTCCTGGAAAAGTGGCTGCCTGAGACCCTCGGTGTCGGAGCGGTGACCGTGGAAAGAGCGCATCGAATTGGACCCCGGAGGGACAGCACCGCAACGCCACGCACTTTAATAATGAAATTTCTCAGCAGCAAGGATAAACAAGTTATTGCTCTCGCATCAAGGGCTAATACTGACATTCGCTACCAGAATCAGCAAGTCCGGTTCTACCCAGACACCGCAGCGGGACTGCTCCAGCTTCGGAAGCAGTTTGACCCAATACGAACGGAGCTACGCAAACTGGGATTGCGCCACGGGGTGGCTCATCTAGCCAAGTTGCTGGTAACTTATCAGGACCGAACCCATGCTTTTAAAACAGCGGAGGCTGCACGTGAGTTTCTAAAGAAGGTCAAGAAGAAAGCCGACGGGGAGGTAACAAAGGACTGAATACCCATTCGGTTATTAAATTAACCATTTGTGACTCGTTTAGCCTTGCTGTGCCCTATGTCGGTCAGTTGTTCTGATAGTGGAACAGTAGTGGATTATTATGAATACATACAGCGCTGCTTAGGCATGGCAAGAGTTAGCGTACACATGCCGGTTTATGTGCTTTTTCACAAGTTTAAACCCGTGTGCAAACACGTGGAAGGTTAAATTGTTATATATATAGTGAACAGCAGCGGTGGTAAAAACTTTTGTTTTGGTTATTGAGTGGTTAGACTGCTCCTCACTGCGTGTGGATCGGTCACACGCGATAACGGGAGGTGTACAGAGGGGGGAGGGAGACCCATGGAGGTCGGTCGAGGTGCGGGTTTTCAGCTTTAGGGGATATGTTTTGAGTTTTGTTCTGGTGTTTAAGCTTCTCAGATGTTCATGTTCTTATGGGGAAAACTGTTTTTTTTCTTATCCATTTCTGGTAATCAGATTAGTCTTACATGTCGAAAGTTTTAAATCTTAAAATGATTACATGGAACTGCAGGGGCCTACAACGCTCAAAGAAGGTCAAACAAGTCATTAATAAACTGCATGATTTGGATTCCAGAATAGTATTTCTGCAGGAGACACATCTTATGGAAGAGGATGAGGGGCCGGTCAGGAGAAGGTGGCGGGGTAATGTATTTGCTTCTGCATTTTCTTCAAGAGCAAGAGGAGTTATGACTCTTGTCCATGAATCTGTCCCATTTCTAGTAAACAATGTTATCAAAGA